GCTGATAGGTCCTTAATTTTTTCTTTGATGGTCCTTAAAAGTCCTTAATTTTCATGTAAGGAAATGTGTACGAACCCTGTAAAGTGCATTTTAAATCAAACAATGAAATAACATAAAAAGTTAAATATATCTTATCGCAACTATGCACTGTGCACTACACAAGGGAAATAGCCACTTACCTTATTTAGAAATTTCTGTGTCTTCATTCTGGTGCACACAAAATTTCTTAACAGCATTCAAAAACTTTCCTCAAGCCATGTTCTCTTTCTAATGAAATGCTTTACATTGTGACCATCTGAACTTCTCTTGCAACAAAGCCATCTCAACGATCTTTACATTCGACCATACGTATTTCCTTTGTACAAACAAAACACTTATAATGGCTACTAAGTAAACCATCAATTTTTTTTTTTTTTTTTTTTCTCTCTCTTTGGTTCCAAATCATACTGAAACTTCAAATTACTTTTACCGTGTATACCATAAAAGAAGCAACGTACTTCCTAACCAATATCCAACACACAAAAAGCCCTTGCAAATCTTTTCCCATGAGTCAAATTCATCGCAGTCACACAACCAATTATGTCATAATAGGGTTTCCATAAATGAAACGTCTTGCCGATAATCCAAGGGGCACATTTAAATATAAGTTAACCTTTTTTTTTTATTAAACTTATTTGATTCTTTCTTTCACATTCCAAATAAAATTCGCCCATTTTTTTATGATTTATTTTTTAAATTTGTATTTTGAAAAAATATTTATAAATTTTTTGAAAAAAATTTCGATTGTCGACCATAAAATTTTTGCCATCGTCTTAAAGTAGATGTATTTTTTAGCATACCTGTAAAAAATTAGAGTTCTTATTCAAAATTTCCTAAGATATACATGAATTTACATATTGGCACATTTGGCATATTTGTTACAAGCGATAACACCTACTGTGGTTTACTTGCTTTGTTAAAATTATTTGAAAATATGAATTATGACTTTTTCTTCACTCGTGTATAATGAAAAAAAAAGAAGGAAAATAGATTACTATAAATGAAGTAGTTCGCCAAGTGAATTATTCTTGGTACGAACTGAAAAATGCACCAAGATAAATTTTTTAATGTCTTCTTAAATTCTCACCAAAAATTACACAATTTAATATCCAGGCATAATTTGAGTTGTAGATTCAAAATATTGAAAAAAAATTGGTATGTTATTCCAGAAAAAGTTCGATTTTGTGGCAAAATATCATACATATGGGTTCCCTCTTTTTTGATATTTCTACTAAATTAATATTAGGAGATAATATAATCAATATTTCTTTAGTTGATAAATTGTTATTATCTTACTTTGCAGCTATTGAGCAAGTATTAGAAAAACTTGTTTTCGAACTAAGTGAATTTTAGATCATTCAATATATGTTAGAACAATGCTATATATAAATCTAATGCAGTCAAAAGTCTTTAATCCGGACTGCATGCGCTAATGCGTTTATGCGTGCGGGTAATACCTTTACGCATGTGCATAATACGTTTACGCATATACATTTAATGTATAACGGAGCTAAGCTAAAATTATCTAATTATCTATTTCAGTTAATGTTGCAGATTGCATTGTTCTTAATCTTCTAATTGCATTTGGCCTTATTCCTTTTTACTGACTGTTAGAGCAATTTTATAAAAAGTAAGATTGAACTTTCAATTATGCCAAAAAGAATTTCAAACTATGGAGCTGCCAAAGGATCTACAAAGCGAAAAACGTTTTCGATGTCCATCAAACAAAAAGTGGAATTGCTGCAAAAATGATAAATGAATATCCTTGGGTTGATCTTTACATTATGGTAACTTGGCGATTTTTTGGCGAAAATTTGGCGACCAACTCTCCTACAGCAACCCTCTAGTTTTTTTTCCCCCGCCGCCATTTTGTCTTCACGAAGTAAAGACATGTATTTCTTTTCTTTTTTTATCTCCTGAACACTTCTTCCAACAATCTACTAGCCGAATTACACTTATGCTAGAAATTTTTATCAAACAAAACTGCTTAATCATGACAAATATTCACTGCAAAATTAGGAAAAACTGCACAATACCATTCCTCCTTACGCATTTTTCAAATAACACATACACATAAACCATGTACACGCCGACTTATTTTTACTTAAAAAAACATCCCAGAATTGCACAAAAATGGCATTGCGCACACTCTTCACTATATCCATGTACACTGCTTTTTTTCTCATAAATTACAAAAATTTCACGAAAATACATGACAATTTTCTGAATCTTTAAACCCGGTAAAAAGAACATATATGAAATTACCTGATCGCGAAAAAGTATTTACCCTTTTTACAAATATGAACATTTACAAATAAATAAAATATCCAAAACATATAAAATAAATAAATATCCAAAAACTTTTACCTCTAAATCATCTATTACATTATACACGTCACCAACGAATTCATACCGCAAGCATTACAAATACTTAGTATCAAATATTTAAATTATTTCCATGCACGTTTATTTCAACTTAAACGTATACCAAATTCCTACAAGCATAAAATTCACAAAATAACTATCATTTCATTAAAATATCACTAAACCATGTACACGTCGACTTATTTTTACTTAAAAAAACATCCCAGAATTGCACAAAAATGGCATTGCGCACACTCTTCACTATATCCATGTACACTGCTTTTTTCTCATAAATTAAAAAATTTCACGAAAATACATGACAATTTTCTCAATCTTTAAACCCGGTAAAAAGAACATATATGAAATTACATGATCGCGAAAAAGTATTTACCCTTTACAAATATCAACATTTCCACATATAAAATAAATAGAATATCCAAAAACTTTTACCTCTAAATCATCTATTACATTATACACACGTCACCAACGAATTCATACCTCAAGCATTACAAATACTTAATATCAAATATTTAAATTATTTCCATGCACGTTTATTTCAACTTAAACGTATACCAAATTCCTACAAACATAAAATTCACAAAATAACTATCATTTCATTAAAATATAATTAAATTCAAAAACACTACTTAAAATATAAATGAGCACATACATTAAATTAATAAAAATTACCTTACAATCCTAATTACTTTAAACTAAATCATTGCTAATAACAATTTTCCCAATAATACCAAATTCCTTTCCACCTTTACATTTACAACAATGCATAAAAATAATATCCTCAAATAATTAAAAATACTAACTTACCTAATCTTCTTCAGAATCTTGATTACGTGGCGGATACACTTTTCTTCCTTCTGTTTCAGAATCTTTAAAATCATACTTATCTTTCAAAGCAAGATACCAGGTAAAATAAATAACATAATAAAACATCTTTATTTCTCTCTCGCACAACCTTAAAAAACATTTATTACTATCCTTTTCAATACCACTAAATACCCATTTCGAATTCACTTTAGTTACGGCCATGGGATCCAAAAATTCACAAACACTATTTCACACAACACAGAATAAAGCCAAATACAAAATTGCCAGATTTTTTCCCGATTAAAGAACAGTAATTCGTCCATTAATATCACATGACATATCCCATGATCTCTCATTTCCCTCACACAAAATAATGCGTAATCAGAACTGAATACTACTCACATTCTTAACAAAGTCTAACTAACCTAATCTTCTTCCGAATCTTCCTTACATGGTGGATACACTTTTATTATGGATTCAATAAAATTACTGAACGATTTTTTTTTCCGAATTTGATAGAATTTGATAAAAAAAAAATTCTCTTTATCACATCTACAATTCACTTTAGACAGCGCCATACAATCCCAAAATTATTCAACCCTACTTCACACAACACACAATGAAGCTTAATACAAAATAATATACATCCACAGATACTTGTCCAAATTCCCCCCTTTTCCGATTAAAGAACCGTAATTCGTCCATTAATATCACATGACATATCCCATGATCTCTCATTTCCCCCACACAAAATAATGCGTAATCGGAACTGAGTACTGCTCACATTATTACCAAAGTCCCAGGTAGTAACCTTTATCGCCTCCAAAATGTCCCCAAACTACCAGTTACCATATTGTAAAGATCAACCATCCTTTGTTTCTCTAACCACCATTCCGAAATCTGTTTATAAATTTCACGCTGCTCTGCGGGGAACCTCGCGGAGCGCAATGAACTAGAAGTTGATCTGTCAGCATTATCCATATCTTCAGGGCAAATGTTTTTATTTTATTCGGCTTATAATTCGTTATTAAATGTAGTATTTCATCTCGATGTACTCCGTCTTTGATATGATTTAAATCAAATTCCTCGTCATTACGAATACACATCAAATAGTTTTCTGGTTGCAATTTTCTAATTTCAACTATGCGTAATGTATGCTTTATGCATGTGCGCGTTGAAAAAAATGTTTAATAAAGTAAACAAATAAATATTAAGCTTTTTTTTTTGTAAATTTTGATACCCTTTAGATCATAATTGCTCTTTATTTCATAAATTACGATTTCATATTTTTAATTTTATAATTTCTGCACGTCATCTTACCAGATTTAAACTGATGATCTATAATCCGGAATCGCTGAAGTCCTATCGAGTCCAGATTAAAGACTTTTGACTGTATATCCTAAGATTTGCTTTTGAGACATGAAGAAAAGCAAGTTAAATTCAGCAATCATTCTAGTAGAACAGGAGATATAGAACTGCCCCCCTTTTTTATGGCAAGGTGTAGGCATATGTATACAAGCATACATACAATATACATTTCTGAATCTGGTCTCAATAACAGAAGAGTACCTTAATTTTCTTCCACATGTTTAGGTTCTACAGTATTTTCAAAGGTTTTAGATTTAACATTTTTTAGCTGACTTAATTTTGTGGTCTATTTTCCAAAATAGCTAGAATTGACTCCCTTTTATAAACCAATCTTTATATGGATTTATCAGAGTTTATATGGACTCTCATAGTTTTAATGGATATTAAAAGTTGCGCTTAAAGTAATGTGTGATTAATTGATTTTTTTTCTTTTTTAGGGTGAAAGTGGTACAGCTACCACATATGTTAGCCGAAAACAAGCGTTGCGGAAACTCCAGTTGTCTCTAAAAGATTTTCGGTAATTCTACAGTTTTAGTAGCTTATTTTTAAACTTCTTGTGTAAAAAAGCTAATCCTTATTTCTGTGTGATACCATTCATAATTTAAAAATTCTATGTATTGATATTGGTAATTATCTTGGTATTTTCTGTTAATTCACACCCGCACCCACCAGTAGCCCAGTAGTAAAATTGTTGAACACTGATAGTTTCAACCTGAGTTCGATTCCAGGCAAACAGGCTGGCTGCATGGGTGTTTTCGTGGTTTTCTCCATGTGTAACGTATATATGAACTAATTTCTCTTAGAAAATTCTCCATGAAGGCATCTCTTACCTTAGGCAAGAAACCATGGTGTGCTTTGCCATAATAATAATAAACTAAACCTTATTCACAGTCCCATGGAAAGGGCAAACCCATTGATGATTTTGTGAATTGATAAAAAATATTTAGCATTCTTACAACTCGTGGTTCTGATCATAAATAATAATAAGAAGAAGCATTGGTACTTTTCTGTTTCGCTGGCGCAAATCTCGCCAAGCAGACTTTGTTGACGACAACATACGGTATACACATAAAATTGTTAAATGTTAGTTCTAAGAATTTTTTATTTTGAAGGCATAAACATTTTAATATGGTTTAAAATTTTGTAAAAAGCCAATAAAGAAAGACAATAAATTTGTAAAAAGACATTAATTTAAGAATTTACTATGCTATCATGGTTCAACATCCTGATTCGCCGGTTCGTATCACATGACCCCAAGTGATCTCATCTCAGGTAAACAACGCTACAAAAATATAATTCTCTCGGTAATTATCTACGTTAATTTCAAGTTAAATCTTAATTTAGGATACAAGTTTAAATGCAAGAATTATTTCAATTCGTATGAATAGCTTACTCAGAAATTATGTAAAATTGCAGTGCTTTACTTCACTAGTGCATTCTCATTAGAACTGATGAATTTAACCCTTGATTTTGCCTTTTCTATATTTTCGCCTTCGGAGTGAAGTGGTTGTGACTGCATCCTAATTGACTTAATTGTTGCGAATGGTCTTGGGGCATAAAATTTAATTATCTTTGTAAATATTCTATGTAATCGTATGCTATTATTAAAAGAAACAATCAATCTGGTAAGAAATGGCTGCGACTTGTTTTGAAAATGAGGCTTAAAAGGTTACCAGCGAAGATATTCCGTTTGGCATCAGTTGTACCATTATTGGCGACTTTATCGTTTGCGACTGCAAAACGGAAAAGTACCGAAGCATTTTATGAGGAAAAAGCAAAAATTTATATGATTGATATTTAAATTTTTGCAGTCATTAAATGTTGTTTAGCAAAATGATGGTTAAATAGAAAGCATGCAAATCCATGAGTAATATAGGTTAGGATGATCAGAAAATACAGTTGTTTTCCTGTACAAAGCCTGTTTTATATAGCTGTATGTGGTATGAAATGTAGCTTTTAAAAATTATAATATTTTACACACATTTGGTAGAAATGATTTTAATTAATCTATTTTTTTAACATTTTGTAATTCGTCTTTTTTCCCCCTCCCCTTTTTGACAGTCTGACTGTAAATGATGTATTTTGCTATTTTCATACTTGTGAGAATGTTAACTACTGGATTTTTTTCTGCGTGTTATACATACTTAATTTATTTGCATATTTTTCCATCTTTCTTTAAAATTTATACTGCTTGAAAATAAAGGAGAGAAAATTATAATACTATTTTTGAGATCAAGACAAAGAAACAACTATTTTAACTCCTATAATTAAAATTTGGCTTGTAATTATAATTACCCTCTTAGCTGTCCTTGGTTGAGAAAAGGTTAGACACCACTATATTGACAATTTTTACAAAACTACAATGACTGAAACATCTCTATTCAAAATTGTACTGTGTTCTTAGCCATGAAAATGGGACATGGCTACCAGTTTTACTTGGTAACCTAAAGTGAATCATAGAAAGAAAGATATTGACTTGACCTTAAATTCTTTGCAACTGCTTTTGTACTTTTTTGAAGGAGGTAGCAGTATCAACTTTCATAGGGTGTAGATATATTTATTGTGCATTCTTTTGCCAACACCTCCATGAGATTGAATTTCCTCAATTATCTTTTGTTTTTATGGGAGTATAGCATAAAGGGCATTGGCTAGAATTTTGAAAACTTTGAAACATGAATATAAAATAACGATCTGAGAAATTTATGTGGATAAGCTGACAGATTGAATTCTTGTTTTAAACTCCCTTTATGAGTGGCAGTACCCAGTATGTGTTGAAAATTAATTTGACTAAAATGTATTTTAGTATACTTTTCTACTGCAATATTTTTCAGAATTTACGTAAATATCAATTAGTTTAATATATTTAACATATGGCTGAATTGGCAGAGAAAAATAGCAGCCCACCAGCGGCCGAGCGGTAAAGTCGCTGAACACTGGTAGTTCGGTCCGAGGTTCGAATCCCGCGAACGGGCTGGCTGCATGGGCGTTTTCGTGATTTTCCCCATGTGTAACGTGTATACGAGCCAGTTTCCCTTAGAAAGTCCTCCACGAAAGGCATCCCTCCCCTTAGGCAGATAGCCCTCGTGTGCTTTGCCATAATTAAATACACCAACACCAGAGAAAAATAGCAATAATTTTTTTAAATATTTGATAACATCAACATTTATATTCAAGAAATGCCTTAACTGATTTTTGAAAAAATGTTTACAATAGTTAAGTTGCAGAATTATTTTATACTTTTCTACACAATATGCATTTTAAAATGACAAATGAATACTCACTTATTTTGTAGCGTGTAGGCCCACTTTTAGACTTGCTTATTTGCTGTGATATTGAAATTCCAAAGTTTGCAGATATTGTAAGCTATGAATTCTCAGTAACAGTACATAGTTCTATTAAATTGAATGATAGTCATTGCAAGAGTTAACTGTGCAGTTGTTAGTAAAACAAACATTTGACCTAAAATTGTTCAATTGCATTCAAGCCTTGGGTACTACTCTTAATGCGCCCTCAGGTCGCCAAATGCTGCGATATGTGTTGTGCACTGTATTTTGGCGCGATTGCATGTTCTGCAATGGTTTTGTGGGCGATGTTGGTTTCTATGGCAACCCCTTTTATGTGGAAACTTAAATTTGCTAGTTGGTTCGCGTGGTGTGTGGTAATTAGGTAATTTATGACGTGTTGGCAAAATTTTAGTCGCGTGCCTGGTACAACTTTTTTTTTTTTTTTTTTTTTTTTTTTTTTGTGGCTGGAAATTTTACAGGTATTAGAAGGTTTTGAACATTTATTTGTGAAAGATAGTATCAATTTTGTAGATAGTGAGTATGGCTGTCATATAAATACGATAGAGATTACATGGCAGCATGTTAAAGCTATGTTCCCTACTTAAAATTGGAAATGCGATTTTGTGTTTTATTTGGTAGTTTATATATTTTTCCATCATTGTTTTGAAATGGGAGAAGATTCTTTTAACTAATTTGTGGTGAAATTGTTTTGGTGATGTTTGAAATTAGTATTTCTACTGTTCAAAGAAGCATTCATTCATGGTAAGTGCATTTTATTTTATTCTTGTTCTTATTTTGTATAATGTTATGTTCATTGTTGTTTTAGTATGAATTTCTGTTGTTTTTTTTTTTTTTTTTTTTGGATTGCTTGAAATTAATTTTAGTTTATTTTGTTGATTAGTGCGCAATGCCTAGATTGTGCAATTCGTAGAGATGTTTTTTAAAATTTAAACAGAATGCTGTGTACATGGTATTTTTGAAATTTACTGTTTTTAATTTATTAAAGCGAGGTGTGCGTAGTTTGTAGTTTCCTTTACTGCTTAGATTGTGCAATTCATAAATGTTTTTTTAAGTTTAAACAGAATGCTGTGTACATGGTATTCTTGAAATTTATTGTTGTTATGTTAATTTATTATAGCAAGGTGTGCGTAGTTCGTAGTTTCCTTTGCTTCCTAGATTGTGCAATTCGTAGATTTTTTTTTAAAGTTTAAACAGAACGCTGTGTACATGGTATTCTTTGAAAGTTATTGTTGTTATGTTAATTTATGTAAGCTAGTTAGGCATAGTTTGTAGATTCTTTCGCTGCATAAATTGTGCAATTTTGTGATATTTTTTGAAGTTAAAACATATTGCTGTGTACATGAATTCTTATAAAATATTTTTGGTTAGAAACTTTACGTTTTTGCTATCTAAATTTTTTTGTTGTTGTTGTTTCAGATTTTTAGCTTAAATTGTGTGTTCAAAACAAGGTTTTTGCAAGTGCGAAAATCGTGTTTTTGGAGACATTTTAGGCTTAAAGTTCGAAATGTAGATAGTAAATATGGCACTGTGGAGTAGTTCCAAGCCTTGAGATCTGAGAGGCCAGTGTAAAGCTTAACTCTAATAAATATTCCTCATTTTAGTTTCATACCAGCTGTGAGCAGCTTGGAGTACTGTTGGAAACATCCTTCACTAGCAGGATGGCAGTTGATGAGAAAGGTGCAGAAAATCAGCTGATGTTTGGTGTATAATTTACATAGGTGAATTCTCCAGTTGCAGTAATAATACTAATGCACATCAACTCGAAATATTCTATGCCGTCAGTGATTTGTCAGCCTGTCCTCTCACTGCATTGCACAGTGGATCTGTGCTTCATGTGGTTGTGATACGGAACTGTCATATTTATGGGCATAAAACAAGTGTCTCGATTTATTACTCTAACCAGCATTATACAATACATAAATGATCATAGATAATATCTTCTTGTTCAAGAAAAGCATTTATCTCAGTGGACTTCTGGCACTAAAAGCACCATATAAGTCTTTAGCTCAAAGGTTCGCAACCAAGCGGAGATCTCATATTTTCAGGAGGAGCATTCAGTCAACCTTTTATTTATATGTTAAGTATTTAGTTTATAAATGCAAAATATTACTTTTATTTAAGTTTTGATATTTAGTAACATTTTCTATATTTTTTCTTCTCTAATTTCTAAAAAATATTAATAATCAAAATTTAAATAAATGTATGGATTTATTTAAATTTGTATGTAATAAATAAATGTTCAAGTTTTGGAAAGAAGAAGGGGGCAATGATTACCTAGGAATGGTGACATGTTGAGAACTACTGCTTTAGCTGCTAAAGCCAATATTATGTGGGCCCACCAGCGGCCGAGCGGTAAAGACGCTGAACACTGGTAGTTCGGTCTGAGGTTTGAATCCCGCGAACGGGCTGGCTGCATGGGCGTTTTCGTGGTTTTCCCCATGTGTAACGTGTATACGAGCCAGTTTCCCTTAGAAAGTCCTCCACGAAAGGCATCCCTCCCTTTAGGCAGATAGCCCTCGTGTGCTTTGCCATAATTAAATACACCAACACCAATATTATGTGGAGAATTTTGTTCTCCGGTAGATTCTGCAGGTAGTAAAGCTACAAATAAACTTACTAAATAAGTGTTATTATCCGAAACACACGATCATTTTCTATGTGAAGCTTACAAGTCATAAACTGTAAATTCAAATTATTAAGGCAATATCAGAGAACTCTATGGCATAGAAAGAGAAGCATCTTTCAATGCCATAGAGTAGGATTCCTCCTGATTTACCCAGAACAGTTGTTGTTATCCCACCATCCCAGTGGCAAAGTCACTGAGCACTGGTAGTTCGGTCCGAGGTTCGAATCCTGCAAACAGGCTGGCTGCATGGGCGCTTTCATGGTTTTCCCCGTGTGTAACGTGTATACAAGCCAGGTTCCCATAGAAAGTCCTCCACAAAGGCATCACTCCCCTTAGGCAGATAACCCTCGAGGCTTTGCTCTAAACACACCAAGAACAAACAGTTGACATGGCTTACCTCCTAATGCATCATAATTATTTTCAATAAGGTCTGAACAAAATTAAATTGGCAGCTTCTGTGACTTTTTTTTATATATATAAATGATTTTTTGATTATGTAGTAGCATCTTGTTTGATGTTTTGAATTTAAAAAAATTTGTCCCCACTGCTATTTCTTATTTATATTGTGAGGAAAGACAGCACCTGGCCTTATAATGCTAATGGAAAAAGGTTAAAAAGAAATTTTGAGTAATTTCTTTGTAATAAGCGTCTGGGTCAGCTGTGGAATAGATAGTGAGATATTGCAGGGTGATATTTCTAATCACACTAATCATGCAAGTTTCAATCTTGTAAAAGTGATGTCATATGCCCCTTAGTTTCTGAGCGCCATTTTTATCATTTACTTAGAATCAGTATACTTTTACCATATTTATGCATGAAATCACCATTTAGCTGCGTCTAAGTGTTGAATGACTGCTGTGTATGCCTTCATATAATTTGGCCACATTTAGAGTTCATTAAGTTGTATGTTTTTTCATAGCACACATTTACTGATAAGCTGTATATTGCATCCCTGAAGCTGCAATGCACAGCTTATCAGTGTATTGTGGCTTAACAGATGCAATACTGAATTTACTACTTCACTGAAATTTATTAGCATATGTAGATAAATATACAGTACAAAGTCCGTAATCCGAATATCCATTATCCGAAATGATATATAATCCAGATCTCAAAGCCACAATCTTTTTTTTTGTTTTGTTTTGTTTTGTTTTTGTATGCTTTACGCATGCGCGTTTAATGTATAACGGATAGTATAAGCTAGGCTAAAATTATCTTTACTGATTCTAAGGCATTCCAGTTAACATTGCAGATTGCTTTGTTCCTTAATCTTCTAATTGGACCTGGCTTATTATTTTTCGCTGACTGTTAGAGCAATTTTATAAAAATTAAGCTTGAACTTTAGATTATGTCAAAACAATTTCCAATTCTAGAACTGCCAAAGTATCTACAAAGTGAAAGCATGTTTCGATGTCTATCAAACAAAAAGTGGAATTGCTGCAAAAAACGGATATAGGCATATCCGTCTCAAAATTATGCGAGGAGTGCGACATTGGAAATTCAACTGTACATGACATAAGAAAAAGGAACGTTTTGAATTTTTTGTGGATTCCGACACCCCACTTGCAATAAATAACAGAAAAAAGGTTCTTTATGCTAAAAGTGACGATCATGACAAAGTGATGACTGAATGGGTCAGACAGCGTCGCAGTGAGTTGCGTGCCATGGATGGGTCCGATGCTAATGACTCAAGCCAAAATATTTCATGAGGAAATGAACTGAAACACTGAGTGCATATGTTCGACAGGTTTATTAACCAAATTTAAAAATTGCCATGGTATAAGACAAAAATTTCAGGTGAAAAAGCTGATACTGAAGCTGCTGAACAATTTGCAGATGAATTCATTGAACTCTTTACTAGTGAACAATTATCTCCAGAACAAATTTACAACGATGATGAAACTGGTCTTTTCTGGCAATATGTACCGTGCACACATTGGCAACCTCTACAGAAAAGGCTCCAACTGGTATCAAAAATTCCAAAGCGAGACTAAAAATTTTAGCGCGTGCAAATTCTGCAGAACGCATAAGTGCAAACTTTTCGTAATCGGAAAACATGCGCGACTCGAGCATTTAAAGGAGTAATGATTTTCCCCGTTATATATCGCGCAAATAAAAGAGCATGGAGGACACAAGCATTGATGAATGATTGGTTTGAAAATCATTTTATACTCGAGGCTCAGTGACATTTGAATTCAGTTGGTTTACCTGATGACTCAAAAATAGTCCTGATTGTTCACAACTGTTCGGCGCATACTTCACCTAAAGTTTTAGTGAAAGATAATGAAACTGTATTATTCTTCCCTCCAAATTGTACGTATATCATTCAGCCTTTGGATATGGGAATAGTGCATGTGCTGAAATGCAAATATAAAGTAGCATTTTTAAAATCTATGTTAAACTTCTTGAACAATGGCAAGACTATTCAAGACTTTTTGAAAATTTTTAGCTTAAAAAAATCGCAAGATCGTGGGAGGATGTGTCTCCAGATACATTAAAAAATGCTTGGCATAATTTATGGCCAGATACCATATTTCATGGTGAGGACAATGAAGATGATAGCCTTAAATTTGAAGGTTTTCGGACATCGCATACTAAAGGTGAAATTTTCCAGTTATTGGATTTTGTAAAGAAATGTGGAGAAGCAGTAATAAATGAAAATGGCATAGCAGAAGTTTTTCATTGTGACGACAATGCCCTAATCATCAATCAATTAACGGACGGCGAAATCTGTAGTACGGTTCTATATCCAGAAAAATAATGCTTCCGGTAGTGAAGAAAGTGCCAGAGAGGTTATTGAAAACGAAAATTTCGATTGACAAGTTAGTCGGTATTCTCGACACAACAACAGTGGAACTTTGTAACTGAACAAAAAATTATGTCTGGTTATAGAATTAAAGAAAAAGTATTAGCACAAAAAACGAAGGTCTTAAACAACTTATGTTGAAAGAAATGTTTAATAAAGTAAACAATTAAATTATTAAATTAAACAAGTAAATTGTTAAATGCTTTTTTTTTTTTTTTTTTTTTTTTTTTTTTTTTTTTGTAAATTTAGATATCCTTTAGATCATAATTGCTCTTTATTTCATAAATTACGGTTTCATATTTTTAATTGTATAATTTCTGCTTGCCATCTTACCAGATTTAAAATGATTATCTATAATCCGGAATTGACGAGTTCGGATTACGAACTTTGTACTGTATTACTTTATTATGGTTTTCTGGGGGGGGGACAACATTCACTAATTCAATGCACTTTATGTGATGAGTCACTTCTCTGTACAAGTGAGTAATAAGTTTATGCCTTTTATTTATAGGTGCAGTATATGTTTTAGTAAATCATCAATTATAAATTTTATCAAGAAAATGTGATGATAAAATGTATTAATTCTAATATTAATATTTAAAATACTTTTATTTATTTTAGGCGACTCTGTATATTAAAAGGTATTTATCCAGTGGAGCCACGTCACAAGAAGAAAGCAAATAAGAATAATTCTTCAATTCAAACATATTATTATTTGAAAGATATTCAGTTTTTAGCACATGAACCACTGATCAATAAATTTCGCTCATTTAAGGTATTTCAACAAAAATCTTACATTGCTAAAAGTATAATTCCTAAGTTCATTAATGTCTTTCAAAATGATGTGAAGGGCTAATGTTTAATAAAGTAAATAAATATTAAGCTTTTTTTTTTTTTTTTTTTTTTTTTTTTTGTAAATTTTGATACCCTTTAGATCATCATAATCATAATAATCATTTCATTCTAACTGAACTTCTGGCATATGTGAAATTTGAAATTTTTCATTCTTTTAAGGAAAATGTCGTATAAAACTCAAATTTATTTTTGAATTAAATCTGAATATAGAGGAGGTTATAAGATTAATGTACTTATTTATTTATAGGTTTTTATTAAGCGTTTAAAAAAAGCAATTGGGAAAAAGGATCAGGAAGCCAGCTCACGATTGAGGGCCAACCAGCCTTCTTTTAAACTTGATCACATAGTAAAAGAAAGGTAAGCAGTAAATGGAATTGCAAAGAAATATATGTAGAGAGAGAGCTTGTGAATTTAATTTCCACTGAAATTTATTGTATTAATTTTGTTTTGTATGTGTAAGCTTTGTTAAATTAACTCAGTGGATATTTATGCAATGGAATGCATTCTACATTCCATAATAAAAATTTCTTGGAAAATAATTTATAAAAGTGAATGTTTGTATGGAGGAGAAAGAAAAAAAGAGCTTTCATCTGAATTTTTTTAGTTCAAGGCCCTTCCCCATGCATTTTATTTTTTGGCATATTAAATGCTATATCTTCTGAATTCGGTGCATTATCAGTAGTTCCAAAAACTAAGAGAAATTATTTTGGATATTTTAAAAGATAATTATGTATTCTACAGTTTCTGCTGCATAAATTTCCTCATTAATAACTTGCACAGATGTATTTTTCTTTTGTAGATATTAATTAAATTCTATATTATATGATTTTAGAAATAACATTCATTAATATTCTTTTCAATCATTGATTCATAAATTAAATTTTCATTAAAATTAATTTTATTATTAACTATTGGTTATGTATATATAAGCTTTGCTGAACTGTCGATTTAGAAAATTAACTATGCAGTGGGAACTTACTACATACCATAACAGAAATTTTTCTACTTTTTTTGAAAATAACTTGTGTAGAAGTGCTTTTGCATATGGCGGGGGAATTTAATTTAATTTTTATAAATTTTTACTATAATACTTTTAAAACTTATAAAATTATATAATTTAAATATATGCACGTAGCATAGCTGCTAACTCTCATGGTTTTCAGTAATGAAATTAAATTGTAGTAATAAAATCTGCTCAGTTTCAAGTTTTATTGAATGAATGAAGCTTAAAATTGGATGCAAATTTCATTCTTCCAAGCCTACCGTTTCGTTAGCATAATTTTTCTTATTAAATTTTGTTTGATTTCAGGGTTCGTAGCGGTCCTTATAAGTGCTTATAAGTCCTTATATTTGAAAATAAAATATAAAGGCCCTTATAAGTGCTGACTTTTTCTATAAAGCCCTTATTTTTTTATTTTTAGTGCCTATTGTTTGCTTTTAGTGCCTTTTTTTTTTTTTTTTTTTTTTTTTTTTTTTTTTTTTAATCAATGCGCTATATTTTTCCCGGTACCAAAGCCGAAAATAAATAAACATTTTTTCTTCCTAATATGGAATGTCAGATGGTGAATCATACTCCTGGAAATAGCTTTTCCCCCTTTCTCTGCATTAACATAACCTTTGGTGTGCACGAAGAGTACAGACAAGTGCCCGTCGTTCTATTGGTCAAAGAATTGCAAAAGCAGTAGAAAATTCCGGTACATTCGGCATTCTTTTCCTCCCACCCAAATACTGCACACGTTTGAATTTCTATCAAGATCTTAATAATTTGCATTCTCGTTCCACTTCGTCAGTTCATATTCGTGTTTATTATGATCATTATGCTTATATGAGCATATGTATGAATGTTTATAATAACATAGTTGCAGTAACTGCTGAAGTATAGTAAACTTCCAAAAATGGTTGTGTTTTAACAGAGATTAGCTTTCTAAGAAATAATATTCGGAATGGCTTAAATAAAGGGAAAGTAATCGAATAGTCAAAATAATTTAATTTTTTTGGCCAATACATTATACAGTATGAAGATTGGGAGGTTCTGCCCTTTCTCCGCAAAATCTCGAATATTGAAACTGTTACAGTTCGCTGCAAAACAAGGAAAGGACTTTTTTTAATCACTTTCCAATCTGGATTGAATAGGACTAAAAGTTCTGCGGTCTACCACCCCAAGTGAAGAATGATTCTATTCCGGAAATTTTAACGCCGTCTGTTGAAAATTAGAATGAAAAACACCCCAGTTATTTAGTTCTTTATTCTCCCAATACTGGCAGCTGTTGATTCCGATTGCGTAATATCATGTAGGAAAGAATTATGGCACACATATTGTGCAATAATATTTGCGATATCTTGAAGAGATAATTAATTTTGATGTTCTGTCCGAGATTTGTTTAGTTTATGAGAGTTTTACTGTGCTTGCTAAGCAGAATATTTTTCAGTTCCATTGTTTTATTTTTATATGATGCACATATCGAAATGTCAAAAGCATTTATTTAGTGGAAAAATCTTAAGAGCGGCTACAGTGTACCCCGTCAGCTCCTCTTTTTCAAGTTACGCTCGACTGTCCGAAAGGCGAGTTAGTTAAGCTTTTACTGTTAAAAGATGACTGCATGAAGCAAATTTCTGTCTTCTGATTTCAGAAATGTTACTCTTTTTTACTTAAATTTACTTTGCTTGCAATATCTGTTAAGGGAAAACTGATATACAATGAAAATTTAGAAAATGTTCAGAATTTAGATTTAAATTATTTAAATATCAATATGAGTGGAAAAATAAATTGTAATTATTATTAGGCTCCAAGCGAATACCATAAATATGCCTTATTATTATTTATTTTCTATATTTTGAACTGAAATTTCATCATTAAATCTTGTAATATAATTTAGTTCTGCATAGTTTTTTTTTCCTCTCATTGTAAACTAGTTCTGTATATTGAACTGTTATTTAAAATTAAAGGAAAAAAAAAAGTAATTATTTTCCATGGTTGAGGTAGAGCTTATTCTCTCTTAATAAATACTGGTCTAATTTTTAAGGTTATGCAGTTGTGTATAATGTAATTAGACAGGTGCTTATTTTTTTAACTAAAATGTGGCTATGAATCCTGGATTTGAATTGTTATATTCTACTGTAGACATTTATCGAATTTTATATTAATATTCAACCATATATTTAATCAGCAAATATTTGCATTCAGTTTTCTTTTAATCAATGTTTAGAGTCATTGGGTCTAGTTTTAAATAGGAAACATGGAAAATGTGTAACGCCTTCACCGAGATTTGAATTTAGGACTTTCCAATTGCTAGACAGATGTGCTTGCAGCTAGAACACAAAGGCACAGGGGGATTTGGACCTAGTTGCATAATAATCCTAGTGGTGACAAATTTTTATTCACTTTATTTTGTGTCACTGTAGTGTGATTTTTGGATGTTTTAGAGCCAGAAGACATAAAAAATGTGTAACATCCTTACCAACATTTGGATTCCAGATCATTTGATTGCTAGCAGGATGTGCTTCCTATTATATCATGAAAGTATGCAGTGAGGAAGGAGAAAATATCTTGCAAATATATGGTATATTATACACCACCTCATCGAATCAGTTTGGAACTAAGAAGTTTTACCTGAAGATTGGAAACTGAGCATCATCTGTCCTGTACACAAAAAAGGAGACATTGTGAAATGTACCAACTACAGGGGAATCAGTCTTCTTTGCGTTTTCTACAAACTGTTTTCTAATATACTTTTTAGTAGACTAGTAACTTATACAGAAAATATTGTAGGTGATTACCAATGTGGTTTCCGCAAAGAAAGATCTACAGCAGAACAAATCTTTACAGCAGGAAAATTTTGGAAAAATCTAATGAATATGGCATTGCAACGCACCAGTTTTTTGCTGATTTTAAGACTGCCTATGATTCAGTAAACAGAAAATATTTAATTAAAGCTATGAGAGAATTATAAGACTGCCTATGATTCAGTAAACAGAAAATATCTAATTAAAGCTATGAGAGAATTTGCAATACCTGGAAAACTTATAAATTTGGTCACCATTACTCTTACTGAGACAAAACTTAGGGTTAAAATCCAGAATAATCTTTCTGAGCCTATTGGTGTTTCAAATGGGCTTAAACAGGGTGATGCACTGGCCTGCTTGCTTTTTAACCATGCTCTCCAAAACATAAAAGACTCCAACTAAGTAGTGTGATTATACTCGTTGAACTCGAACGAGTATTAATACTACAGACTGTTCAGATTTTTGCATTTGCTGACGATATTGACATAGTCACACGCACTCCCGAGTAGAGAGTACTTAGAGAGGCTTTTACATCTCTAGAGGCTAGCAAAATGCACCTAGCAATCAACCAAAATAAAACTAAATACATGCCATGTGGTAATAACAGCAGCCCCTATTTTGACATTGGGAATTACAAATTTGAAACTGTTATCAAATTTAAATATTTAGGATCAGAAGTTAATACTGTCGATGATTTAAAAGCGAAGTTTTTAATTTACAAAAGCTTAATAGACCCATTCTTACGTACTCTGCTGAGACCTGGGCAATGACAGAAAAAGGTGAAAGTATATCATTTCTGTCTTTGAAAGAAAAATTTTGAGAAGTATTTTTGGTGGCATAATTAGCAATATCTGTAGAAGAACTGTATAAATCCTTTAAAGAAATAGATATAGTAAAATATATAAGGATTCAGAGAATCAGATGGGCAGGACACCTGTGTGGATGAAAATCGAGTAATTAAAATGATCTTCTTGGCCAGACCATTCGGCACCCAAATAAGAGGAATACCTAAACTTAGGTGGCTCGACTGTTTGAAAACAGACTTAAGAATTTTAAAAATAACCAATTGGATGTCCATGACCAGGGATAGAAGAGCTTGGAATTTGATTCCGAGGAAGGCACGGGCCCATCCTGGGCTGTCTGGCCATTAAAGAAAAAGAAGATATTTTATATTACTAAGATTATCCACACAATAGTATGAACATTAATTATTAATTTTACTTTTATCATGCTTAGAAATATTTTGATAAACTGAAGTTTTTCTTCCCTAGTGAGAATTTTCTCAGTTCAAAGTGTAAGAAAACTACAAAATTAAATTAAAGTGGGTAAAAGTTAGATGGTATAATTAATGTACTTTACATCAGAATCATAATTTATATAATTGAATAAACAGAATCATCCACTATAAAGTGAATTCAAAATCTTGGAAGCTTTATAAAGGGAAGGGAGAAAAACATTTTGTTATATATTCATTAATGCTGATTGCTCATTTCTTTATTATTTGGCACAGCAAGTCATAGTTTTACTAGTTATTCAAATTATGACATTGGTCTTTTATGTCTCATTCAAATTTATTAATTTTTATTTTTAGGTATCCTACTTTTGTTGATGCCCTTAGAGACCTAGATGATGCAGTTTCTATATGCTTTCTCTTTAGCACGTTTCCAAAAACTAGAAATGTTAAGCCTGAGCTTATACAATTATGCAGAAGATTGACAGGTATAAATTAAAAAATCCTTTTTTCAAAATGTGTGGTTTGTTTCAGTGAATGAACATGATAGTTTTACATTTTCCCCCTTTTATTTGAGCTATATTATTAAATCGAATATTTTTATTAATCAAAAAGTGTATTGTGTATTCATTTTAAATCAAACTTCTAAAAAAAATTTCCCCTTGAACAGATACTTATTTCTAGTGCATTAACTCTGCAAAAATATTTTCAACCTTTAATTCATGTCATATTTTTATATTATTTATATTACATAAATATTTTCAACTTTCATTCATTTTAATTTCAGCTTTCATACAAATAATGTGTGTTTTTAAACTATTGCTTTTTTTCCTCATATATGTGTATGCAAAGTTATTTAGTGTAAACAAGCATAGATTTTTAAAATTTCAATTCTAAAGATGAATCCAAGTTACTAAAATGCATAAGATGTTATTTTTATTTTACAATTAGAGTAAAACAAATTTAGTATCCGCATCACATATTAAATTAATACTTCCACATTGTATCGAATGCTTTAGCATTTATTCACAAACATGCTGTTAAACTTTATGAAAATATTTCAATTGAATTCCTTCACTCTCAAGTTTTGATTGTACTTGAAGTTATGATTCATTCCCCAATTTTTGAACCACCTTACCATATTTTCTTGTGTAATGTTATGTGTATTCACAAATTCTCATTTTATTTTGAATGTTTCATCTTAAAAACAGGATTTTTTAGATGTTCTACTTGCCCTTTTGCTGTGTGAAACTGCATTTCAGCTTTAGTGCAACAAGTATCGTGCCTGCTCACCAGTTGACTTTAGGCGCACTTCTGCCAGCAGATTCTTATCGCCAACTCGATGGCTGTCCTCTCACTATTTTTGCTTACTATTTAAAAAACACTGATTATTTTTAGTTTAAAAAAACATTCTTTTTCATGCTGTGCATATGTGCTTCTTATTTAATGCCATCGGCCTTTGAGCTATACTGTTGGTAGATTAAAACTCTTAGCAGTTGCGAGCCTGAGCACCCACCAGGATTCACATCATACTTATGTCTGTGAAAATTGTAAAATATTCATGTGTGTTTCAAAAACCATAGACAGGAAACTTTCTTTGTATTATTTTGTAGATCTCCTCACTTTGTAAATGCTAAGTTACAGTTGAACGTGAAGAATCTTAAGAAATGATAAGCGAATAATTGCTTGAGTTCATGTGACAAGAAACAACAAGATGGAAGGGTAAATAACCCTTTATTATTCAAATAAGATTTTTAACAGAACTCTGTCTTGGACTGTACAATAAAAGTCGACAAAACTAAAGAGGTATAGCTGAAGCTATCAAGATTCTAACCGAGTCGGCCCCTTAACGCTAATTGACTGTGAAGCTATCAAGGGTCTAAAGTACAGCCAAGCGTAATAATAGCTTATGAGAGATCAGCCTAAAAAGGCGGACCCATGCAGACAGAATACCTGGTAACTCTCTCTCTAAGATCGAAGAACTTTGTGATTAAATACCACTCTTCCTCATTATGTATTCAGATGTGATTCTAAAACTACGTTCTGGCCAGAAGTTGTAAGTTGACGTTAAGAATGGACAGGAAAGGAACTTTAAATTAGGCTGATCTTTAGAATATGGTAACTGGTAGTTTGGCGACATTTTGGAGGCGATAAAGGTTACTACCTGGGACTTTGGTAATAATGTGAGCAGTACTCAGTTCCGATTACGCATTATTTTGTGTGAGGGAAATGAGAGATCATGGGATATGTCATGTGATATTAATGGACGAATTACGGTTCTTTAATCGGAAAAGGGGGGAAATCGGGGAAAAAATCTGGAAATTTTGTATTTGGCTTTATTCTGTGTTATGTGAAACAGTGTTCGTTAAGTTTTGGATCCCATGGCCCTAACTAAAGTGAATTCGAAATGGGTATTTAGTGGGATTGAAAGGGGTAGTAATAAGTGTTTCTTTAAGGTTGTGCGAGATAGAAGTAAAGATGTTTTATTAAGTTATTTATTTTACCTGGTACCTTGCTGTGAAGTATAAGTATGATTTTAAAGATCCTGAAACAGAAATAAGAAAAGTTTATCGGACACGTAATCAAGATTCTGAAGAAGATTAGGTAAGTTAGTTAGTATTTTAATTATTTGAGGATATTATTTTTATGCATTGTTCTAAATGTAAGGTGGAAGTAAAGTAATTTGCGTAAACGTGCATGGAAATAATTTAAATATTTGACACTAAGTATTTGTAACCATTCGTAATGTTTGCGGTATGAATTAGTTAGTGACGTTTGTAATATAATAGATAATGTAGAGGTAAAAGTTTTTTGGATATTTTATTTATTTTATACGGGAAAATGTTCATATTTGGAAAGGGTATATACTTTTTCGCGATCAGGTAATTTCATATATGTTCTTTTTACCGGGTTTAAAGATTCAGAAAATTGTTATGCATTTTCGTGAAATTTTTCTAATTTATGTGAAAAAAGCAGTGTACATGGATATAGTGAAGAGTGTGCGCAATGCCATTTTTGTGCAATTCTGGGATTTTTTTTAAGTAAAAATAAGTCGATGTGTACATGGTTTAGTGATATTTTAATTAAATGATAGTTATTTTGTGAATTTTATGTTTGTAGGAATTTGGTATACGTTTTAGTTGAAGTAAACGTGCATGGAAATAATTTAAATATTTGACACTAAGTATTTGTAATGTTTGCGGTATGAATTCGTTGGTGACGTTTATAATATAATAGATAATTGAGAGGTAAACGTTTTTGGATATTTTATTTATTTTATGCGTGGAAATGTTCATATTTGGAAAGGGTATATACTTCTTCGCGATCAGGTAATTTCATATATGTTCTTTTTACCGGGTTTAAAGATTCAAAAAATTGTCATGTATTTTCGTGAAATTTTTCTAGTTTATGAGAAAAAAGCAGTGTACATGGATATAGTGAAGAGTGTGCGCAATGCCATTTTTGTGCAATTCTGGGATGTTTTTTTAAGTAAAAATAAGTCGACGTGTACATGATTTATGTGTATGTGTTATTTTAAAAAACGCGTAAGGAGTATGGTATTGTGTACTTTTTCCCAATTTTGCAGTGAATATTTGTCATGATTAAGCAGTTTTGTTAGATAAAATTTCTAGCATAAGTGTAATTCGGCTAGTAGATTGTTGGAAGAAGTGTTCAGTAGATAAAAAGAAAAGAAACATGTCTTTACGAGAGTTGGTCGCCAAATTTTCGCCAAAAATCGCCAAGTTACCATAATGTAAAGATCAACCTTAAATTAAAATTTATTTTAGTAAAATCGCTTGTCATTGTGAATTTTTGATTTCACACGGTGGAAGGGCCGATGTTTTTAAATATGTGACACAAGTAAAATGTGAGTTGTATTGGAAAAAAATTAATTTTTTTTTTCTTGTGGAAACAAAGGACCTGAAAGTTATTAATGCAGAATGCTTGTTCTCTTCCTCTTTATTGCATAACTTGTCACTGAATGCATCGGATCATTCTGTAGCTTTATTTTGAAAAATGTTTCTTGTCAGTGAAATTGCTAAAAAATACTCGAGTACAAGGTCAAAAAAGGCTCCAGTTGTAGAAGAAATGAATTCAAGAAATTGGTATCAAAAATAAATCTCCAATTATTGATTGCGTTAACCCAGTTCTATTCTGCCTCTCTATGGATGTGAGCAATAATACTGATGCAAAATTGTATCCAGTTTTGTTTATTTTCTGTCACCATTTTAGAAGGAGATTCGACAGGCATAGCACAGCTAATTATTAAAACTTCAAAAGAAAGTGCAATTCTTCAGGATAATTGCTAGCACTTAACACCAACAATGCACCAAGAATGGTAGGCGTCAAGATTGATGTTGCAGGCATGTTAAAAAAAAACTTCTGATTTGCAAATAATATTGCACCTGTCACCTCTTAAATTCAGCGCCAATAAGTATAGATGAGCACATTGTTGATATTTATTACCTTAAAAAGATTTCTAAAAAGAAGAGGAAATTGTAGCAATTCCAACTGCTGCGAAATATTGAAATAAAAAATATGAAATATATACTATGTGTCTGCTTGTTATTTTTAGAGAAATGTTTTTCTAGAATCTTCGACCAATAGAACCCACTGCTTGCATTTTTTAAGGAAAAAGTAAATGCTTCTAGATGAGACAAAAGCCTCTACTGAAAGTTATAAAACACCTTAAGTAAATGGAGATGCAGTTATTACTTTCACTGTTAAAAGTAGGTGTGAGAAAAATCAAATCATTTCTGCACTTACGAGCAATTTAATTGGCAGTTCTCAAAATACTACAAAATATAAGCATAAAGCTCTCCCAAAACAAAGTGCTCCCCAAATAAAAAAATCGCTTGACAAGAGGCACATTTTAAAATTATTGAAAATTTATCTTGTAGGAACAAATATTTTATCTTTTTGTCTTAGTGCCTTAACAAAACTTTTTGCTTTTTTTACTCTCCATTTTGACATTATTTGATGTTCTTAGCACCATTCTACACCGCCAGAGTTCTACTAATTCATGCTTTGCAGTCTGATTACTGCAGTGAAGATTACTGATCTGGTTAAAGTATTATTTAGTGATTAATGAAACTGATTAGGGTGATTTTCTGTTGTTCATCTGATTTCTGTTTTTCTGCAATTCATATTCATCACTTAGCTATCTCATAGTCAAAAGTGTTATTAAAAGATGCATTGCAGAGGGCCGATATTGCAACAAAAGTATATATGTATATACCCACTCTGTTATTTGGCTTGGTGAGCTCAGTTTTTTAAAATTTTATATGTTGGTAAATTGTGAATATTTTTTTTTTTTTTTCTTTAAAAGTGATAGAATAATATTGTTCTTATGTTCTGGTTAAGGTTTTAATATCTTTGGGTAATCTGCATGTAATAGTAGTAAAATTATCAACAATTTAAGAGTTCTAGTGCTACTAACTCTAATAAAGCTGCCATTACCTTACATTTCAAACTCGTAGTAGAATGGTGAATTAGGTCAACTTCTGCACCAACTTCAATGTCTTTTTGTCAAATGGGACCAAAAGCAAACTTTCTGTTTTTTGCACTGAAAAATCTGTCTTTCTCCCGCTGGCCGAATTGCTTGTTTTTATATAGAAACTCTTAATTTTATTTGAAAAAAAAAATAATAACTGTTTTTAGTCCAAAGAGCATTAACCTAGAAGGGCTATTAATTTTGTTTTGTCATTTTGGCATTAATTCACTGTAAATGCCGAATCACTTTTTAAATTGTTGCCACCAAATATTAGAGTCCTCTATTAATCTAAAGAAATTAAATAATGAAGAATCTGTGTACATGTATGTTTCTTGCATTGTGATAAAAAGCAGTACCTAAAGTTTTGTATAGTGTACGTCTCTATCCGAATGTGGGGTCATCTGGAAGGTCAAATTTGGAATTTAGAGCATTTATGAGTTTTTTGATTAAGAAACTCAATGATTTCAAAGCGAGCAATGGCAACACTGTACTGGAGGGGGAAAAACATCTTTATCTATAGCCTGCGAGACTGTGTATCAGAAATTCTGAAGACATGGTCTTTTGAATTTTGTGATATTGTTGTTGAATTGAATTTTATGGTTTAAGTGAGAAGAGCGTGATATTTAATAAATAAAAGTAACACCCTAAATGTTAAAAAAATGCCCCTTTGGGCGTAATATAAAATTTGAAAGCTTTCAGATTTTTTTATTTGTATTATGTTTTTTTGTATGTTGTGTTTATGTATTTTACATAATACTAGACCGTACTAGGAAGTCATGTCATGTCCATATCTCTTAAGTAGATATGAAACCAGGTGCAATCATTCGACAGTCAGTTCTGTTATCCACAATACAAAACAGAGCAGCAGGAAATGTTTAGTTTAAAAAAAAATAATAATAAAATTAAAAATCTGTTTCCTTCAACTTTCCTAGTCTTCTGGGGTTAGTTTAGATTTTTTACACATTCAGTAATGAAGCCATCTTATTTATTTATTGTGAATATTTCAGTTTAGGAATATTGCATTAGTCATGTAAAAAATGTGCAAGAACTGTATTCTTTGGAGGAAAAGATCCTGGCATGGCTGAGTTATTTCTACTGCTACGTTATTGCATCAAGGAACTGTTTTGATCTATACATGCGGTGTAGGTCCATTTTTTCAAAGATGAGTAGAAGGTTGAATGAAGTAGCAGAACTATTTCATAAAATACTATGTATTACCGTATTTGACGGCATATAAGACGCACTTTTTTTTCCTAACTTTGGTCTTAAAAAAGTTACCTGTGTCTTATACGTGAAGGTAATTGCATTCAATAATTGTTTATTTGGCTTGAAATGTGAGAACTAAAAGAAACCACGCTATTGAAACTTTTTTTGCTTGTGTGTAGCTGTCTAAATAAGGGTGTGTCTTATATGCCGTCAAATACGGTATATAGTTCAAATATTAAAAGCACTTATTGCCATAAATGCCATTTTTTCCTTTTGTTTATTTTAGCCAGTTTAATTCATTATGTGAATGCCATGATATTATATACTTATGTTCAATGATAAGCACTTTCTGTTTCTATAAATATTAACATCAGTTAAATTTTTAGTGGAATTTCTTCATTACATTGTGGAAACAAGATCTTTGAGGAAAGTGTTTATCTCTATCAAAGGCATTTATTATCAAGCTGAAATAATGGGTCAACTCATAACTTGGATTGTACCACATGCTTTAGGTTATGCTGTAAGTGCATTCATTTCTATCTTCTTTTTTTAACTAACTCTTTTCTAACTTCGAGGTATTTTATTTTTTTGAATCAGCAAATTCCTGTCTTTAACAAATAAAGGCTGTCAGGGAAGTTGTGGTGCTTACTTGTTTGTGCAGCCACCCTTGTAGAAGTTGCCAAACATTCAGAAAACACCAAACTCTGGCAATCAATGCATGTAACAATTCTTCAGTTTTAACAAGTGACATTGCCCTTTTTTTATTATTATTATTATTATCTTCCAAGTTCCAAGGATTTTTATTAACAAATTATAATATCTGCTTAAAATTATGCAAATTAGCAAAATATTTTGAGAGTTATCAGACGCAGTTTACTGTTCAGTACTGTTTTGTAATTTTCACTAAGTTCAGATATCTCCAAAAACTGATGATCTCGCAAAAAATTCGAAGCATAAAAATAATAATAATATTAATATATTTAAATTAAAATATTTAAATTATGGTAAATAAAATACAATATGGTTGAGTTGAAGAAAAAGTCTATGAAAAAATAACAAAGATATTCACAAAATTAGAAATTTTTAATGTAAATTAAATAACTTCCTAAAGAAAGCAGGAAAAAAAAAATAACATTTTATGGTTTCTCATGCTCTTTTTTTTTTTTTTTTTTTTTTTTTTTTTTTCAAACTGTATAATTCCTAATTGTATGGAAGGTATTTTTTCATTAGGCAAGTCCAAATATTCAAATCCATGGTAAATACAATAATAATAAAAACACAAGCAACTGTTACATCTTTAGAATTTGCATTCTTGTTGTCAATTTTGAAAATACATTCTTTTACTTTTTCTTTAAAATTTAGCATTGTAATGACTTTAGAAATAGACATTGACAACGACTCCTGATAACAGAACAGTAACTCTTCTTTTTTAGGAGTAAAAATATTTTGTAGTTTTGCATTATGTGTTTCTCTTCTGATTTTATATCTCAAATTTTGTTTTAAATAGTGCAATTAGGGATTCTATAATGGAAGAATACAGTGTCGGAATACAATATTTTACTGTAAAATTGCTAAAAGGAGCAATTTCTTTGAATATATTCCTAAAACGATTGTCATGGAATTTTCCATCATAAAAAGAACTAAAACTGGGTTGTAAGGAGGTTTATTGATTGATTTTTCAAAATAAGCTCTTTATCTAAATTAAATTTTCTTTCCATGGATAGAAGACTGGAAATATATTTGGAGTCACGTAACTCTTCAGCTTAGCCCAAGTTGGGCAGTCAGACGACAAATCTGCCGTTTTTGTTTACTCAATAGTTTTCTTTAAAATGCTTCTCACAAATCTCTTCTTCAACTGTTGAGTTCTGATTTTGGAATGTTAATTCTTCCGACTCCCCAAAGTGCTTAAATGTTGCATCAACATTATCCTCAGTATGTAAACTAATGCGATTAACACTAATGGGATGTGGAGCACTACTTTCTGTTTTAGTTATACCAGATACAACCCAACCGAAAATGGTATTTTGTGCAATTGCATTTTTATAGAAGAATCTGCCTTGGCTAAAGCAGAGAAAAGAAATAGCTCCAATTATCATGTCTATTTGTTTGGGAGTAATGAAATTCCGATTTGCAAGATTAATTAAATTCAAATGATCAAGGTCTTTGCTGTCAATCTTTTCTGACAGCAAATGCATAAGTTAATTTTTTAAGAATTTGCTCGTATTAAAACACCCTTCCCCCCAACTAAAATTTCGGAAACAATTTTACATTTACATAACCGTGAGTCAAAGCTGCTTCAGAATCATTAAGTCCATTTTGTCTACGTATATTTTATAGTCGAATAAAGGATTCACTGATGAAAGAAGCTTCACTTCCACAGTCAAAAAGGGTGATACATTCATGACCTTGAGCAGAAGAATCTTAAATTATTACTGCTGCTGTTGGTAAAAATGAAATACTCTGATCCTGAATAGAAAAACTCGAAATATTATTTTGTTCGTCTGAGTTACAAATTTGTTCATCAGGCGGAGATGAATTTGACACCACTACATTATTACTTTAAATATCTTCATGCAGTAAAGTATGATGTTTTGCTTTAAAAATAGAACATAAATTTTGAGATGAACAAAGTTTTACTTGATAATTCTCAAAACAATTGAAGCATTTTTCCTAGTTGTAATATCTGCATGCAATATTCGCTTTTCAGTATTGTGAGTGTTTAACATTTCGAGTGAAACACATCTTGAGTTTAAGAATTCCAAAAAACACTTTAAGGTGGAAAATTCTTCTTCGCCAATTTTTTGTGACCATAAATGGTACGTTTCTGGATCAGCCTTTTCTAACAAAAAATAAATTGGCCAAACATCTCTAGACGAAGCTTTTCGCAAAGAGATTTTTAATCCATAGAGAACTTCATCAGATGTATCACATAGTTTTTTTAGATTAGCAGAATCAGCACTAGTAATTCTGGATTGCTTAAGAAATGTTCTTGATGCTAAAGCAAAGTTTAAAGTTTAAAGAAATTAAACATTTAGCAGTAGTAGCAATAAAAGCTCCCTGAGATAATATGTTTGTGCAGACATTGAAGACAATAAAAAGGTTTTAAACTTAACCAATTTATTAACAATATAATAAAGAATAAAAACACAGAAAATAAATTTCAACAATATCAGAGTCTTAGGAAAAATATAATATAACCATCATTCATCAAATAATATTTTTACCTGGTCTCCAAAACACTGGCATTCAATACAAACAAAAATGTCCTAAACATTAATTATGCGGCCTAAAAATGAAGTTGGCTACACATTCAATAAGTCCACGATCAATGGTTGAGAAAACACCTGAAAATTTAAATCAAGTTCTTGAAAACACTTAAAACCGGCCTAACTCCGTTTGCACGAGGAATCGCCGCTCACGTATTTTAAATGCCGCCTTTATTGAAGAACATGGATGCCGCCCACGGCAGTCACTCACATGGTAGCCTCTGGAACCAAGGAATTTATTCCGGAACAATAATCTTGTGGACATGAATCAAGGAACCCCATTCCGGAACAACCATCCCGCGGACAGGCACCAAGGAACTTTATTCAGGAACAACCATCCCGCAAACCGGAACCAAGGCACTTTATTCACCGGACTGCATGCATCCTTCTGAAGGGGCTGGAAACCACTTTGTTAAGTGTCAGGAAAGCAGGAACTAGAAAGCGAACTAGAAGGGGTGAGCCAGAGCGACGCGAGATACTTATAGCAGTAGTAGGCATGACGTCATCTCACGGCAACCAATCAGCTATCGGCACGAATCGACTTTCCAGATGACATAACATCACTTTCGTTTTTGCATCTTAATTAGGTTGAAACAGTTCGTTCTCAACTGCAAACAGTGGCAGCAGTAAGAAAAAGAAGTAGAAGTAACTACTATATTACATTAAAATAAGAACTAAACTAAATAAACATTTCAAGGAGGAGAGATGATGCAGTAAAAAGGTTTACAATAAGTTATATTTTTCCAACAAATGCCCCCCACATCATCATCTCCGACCTGAAATAAAAAACTGAATGCCAGTATCTTTACAAAATTCAAAACAAGAATAAATAAATATCACAATTTCATTCAGAAATTTTTAAGAAAATTTTTCCTTTGGGAACATCTTATCCCATTATTCAAAAAATTTACCATAACAAGAAAGTCCAACATGTTACAAAACAATACAAAGACATATGTATGATCATACACTCAATACATTTACCCAGGGCCCTGGTCACTCATACAACATTCTACACTATACAAGTTTTACATTTACCTAATATCATCATAATATGACTTATAACATATTTTTCAAATTAAACAAAACTCTTAATTTTAAATACACACAAAAACAAATTTCATAAGAAAATTGTTCCACAAAATCTTATCAGGTTATGCTTAGTCAGCGGTTTTGTCATGGGATCAGCCAGATTATCTTTACTTGGAACATATTTTAAATCAAAAATTTCCCTGTTCAATAGATCACGAATGAAAAATAGTTTCACATCTATATGTTTTGTCCTTGAGTTTTCAATGGGTGATTTTGTAAAACATATAGCAGCCATGTTATCAGCAAACAATATTGGCCTCGAAACATAGTTACTTGCAATCTTAAACTGAATGCATTCATCCAAAATGTTTTTAAACCAAACTAATTCTTTTGCTGATTCAGTCATGGAGATAAATTCAGCCTCCATAGTAGACAAACTCACTCCCCTTTCTTTAAATGTACGCCAAGATACAGGTGATTCTCCCAACAAAGCTATTTGTCCACCAATAGACACCATATCATCCCTGCTTGAAGCAAAATCCGAATCTGAATATATATTGAGCTTCAGTTCCTTGCATACCAGTTTAAGTTTGTGCTGTCTGGTATTGGAAACGTACCCTAAAAGTTTAAGTAATCCTTTCCCAGTGAAACTTACCAGGATTGCTTTGGAACTGAGAAAATATATTAACAGCATAAGCTATATCCGGACGAGTACGATTGCAAAGAAACGAGAGACATCCCAAAACATTTCTATAAGGATAATTCATCATTTCAGTCGTTTCTTCTTGTGTACTGGGACTTTGAGACTTTGAGTATTTCACACCTTTAACTATTGGAAGGGAAGTAATTTGTATTTTAAAAGACTTAAATCGATCAACTATGTCTTCTATATATAATTGCTGATGAATTAAAACACTATTGTTCTCATATTCAAATTCCACACCCAGAAGCTTTCTTGTTTTACCTAAAATTTTCAAATCAAAATGTGAACTCAGGACTTTTAATATCCTTTTGGCCTGAACTTCACTTTTCCCAAACACAACTATATCATCAACATAAACCAACAGAATGACAAAATCTTTAAAACGATAGACACAATTACACCACTCAAACTTGATAAACCCTAGGTTACATAGTGTTCTATCCAACTCGTAGTACCATAATCGCCCACTCTGATGCAAACCATACAAGGCTCTATCTAAACGACACACAAAAGTTTCTT